CTGGGATTCAAGTATCTACCAAACGTATGATCGATGGGAACGCGGGGGAAAGAAACATATATATGCACATCCGTGTACACGAGCTGGCACGCAAAAACAGAATGATGATATAAAAGAACACGCCCCCTTCCCGATGCTTTCGTACTCAACCGACAGTCTGCAGGCAACCAATGAAAACAGGTTTCTGTCAAAACAAGAAAGAAAACGAAGGGGGTATCGTAGCCTGCTCGCGGACCCCCTCAGCCACTGCTCCTCCCACCCCCTTCCGCCCGCCTCTTTCTCACGCTCTGACATGCCTACATCATATCGTATACATATGCTCCCCCTCTCCACTCCCTAACCTGCTGCTTCGTTGCCGCCACCACCGTCGCCGCCGCAACTGCCACAGTACGAAAAATTACCACTACTCTCCCAGCGGCATGCCCTCGAGCTCGTCCAGCAGGCGCCGCCAGTTGTCGGCCAGCATCTCGGCGTACTTGACCCGCTCGCCGGCCCAGTCCTGGTTCCAGCGGCTGATGTGGTACTGCGTGCTCTGGAACGTCAGGAGCTCGTCCCGGACGCACTCCTTGACGAAGACGGAGCGGTTGTGCTGCTGCACAATCGACTCTTTATCCTGTGAAAGTGGAAATAAGACGTCAGCATATATGCGCTGCGCTGTGGACAAAAGTCGGGCTCGGCCCGACGACATACCTTGATGATGGCCTCGGCCACCTTTTCAATCTCCCCCGGCTTCACCATGCCCTCGGGCTTGGACCGCAGGTTCGCCAGCTTCGTCTCGTTGGTCTGGATCCTGCGCTCCAGGTACGGGATGTTGTCCTTGTCGAGGCGCTCCCGCCGCTCAAACAGCTCCCGCACGCTGACGAGCGCGTCGCGCTGCCGCTTGAGGTCCTCGAGCACACCCTCGTCCCACCCCCGGCTCTCGTCCTCGAGCAGCGTCTGGCACGTCCGCAGGTGCTTGCTCATGGCTACGAGCCCGTCGTTGAGGAGCGGCACCTCGTTGGTGTCGCTGGCGTATGTGTCTGCCGACGTCTCCGTCAGGGACGTGAGGGACATGGCGATGCGGGCGTGGTCCGCGGCCACGCCCTCGGTTCGCTTCACGAGTCGGTCCATGATGTTGCAGACGTTGATGTAAAGCTCTGCAGAACGGCGGACTCCCGACTGGGTGCGAGTGAAAAGCTCCTCCAACGTCGGCGGGAGCGAGTCTTCCAGTCCGGGGGGCAGCGCGCGGTCGCTGAACTCGTCCTGGACGGAGATTGTGGCCTGTTTCCGCCACACAGCTAGTTCCTGCAGCATTGTTAGTAACTGATGCCATTTGTCTCACTTTGTCAAGATGGAATATCACGCACAGTGGGAACCGTCAGGAACATGACAACCAGCTGCTCCTGGCTCAAGACGGGATGCCTGACGAGCGCGTTCAGGAATCTAGCCAGGCCCCGCCTTCGCTTCTCGATGAACGCGCCGTCGTTGGACAGGTGGTTCCCGTTGACGGCGACTCGCTTCGGCGGCAGCAAAGGCAGCACGCGGAAGGGATACCGCTTGTGCAGGCAGTCCAGCAGCCAGACAAAGTCGCTGTACCGACGGATGACCTTGCTCCCCCGGCGCTGGCTCGCGACCTCGTAGTTGTGATGCTGGAACATGAACACGCCCTCCTTGCCGGGCATCAACGTCACGACGACCGTCTCCTCGACATTGCTTCCCGTCCGGCCGGCGCTGTTTCTAATCGTCGTCGTGGGGGGTTCGTTGCCGCCGGGAGCTCGGTCGGGGGCGCCGTCACCGCCAAACGGGCTGGCTGCGACATTCGGGACTGTGTCGTGGAAGCCACCTGTCCCCGACGGCGTGGTGCCTCCAAAGTAGCCCCAGCCGCCGTGACCGGAGACGGAGCTGCTGGGCGGGCGGCCCGCGTTGGAGGAAGCCGACGTGCCGGGTGTCGTGGTGTAGTGGTTCACGGAGCCCCTGCCCATGGTCGGCGTCGGGGTCTCACCAAAGCCATTGCTGTGGCCGTTGACTGCGCCGTGGACCCCGCTCCCGTTGGTCTTTGCGTGGTCGTGGCCCTTGTGCACCTCGGGCGAGTTCCACGGGTCGTCCTCCGGGTCGTCCATGGCCGGGCGGAACGCCTTGGTCTGCGTCATCGAAGAAGGGGTCGCTGATGCCGCCACCGCCACCGCCGCAGTCGCTGATGAAGTTCCTGCGTGCGAGTGCGACGAGGGCTGGTTGTGCGGTGGTGAGGGCTGCGGCAGGGGCTCCGTGGGCGTCTGCGGCGGCTTCGCGGCGAGCTCGGCGACGGGCGGCAGCACGGGCTCGGCGGTGAGGCCGGGGAGCTTGGGCTGCGGCAGGTCTAGGACACGAAAAATGTATGATTAGCTGCTGGTGCCCCCACCACGATGACAGGGTTTCTCTATCTCTCCCTCTCTCCGGCAAGCGATGGCGACGTCTGCGGTGAGCGGCCAATCCAATCGACGGCACGGCGCCCGGCTGCATGCACGCGACTGGAGCCGCTCCTTGTGGGCAATGCGAAGCAGTGACGGACGGACCGAGGGAGAACGGTGGACGCAGAGGGGGAGAGATGGGGATGAAAGAGGCGACCTCATATGTGCCACAGGAAAGGGCGGTGGATCAAAGCAACTCAGAACTTACTTGCGCGTCTCTCGTCCACGCCGTCGAGGCTGATGATGTCGCCCTCCTGCGCCAGGCCGACCAGCGCCAGCACCACGTTGAACTCGTTGCGCCCGAGCGACACGTCGGAGCCGTCGCCGGGCGCCACCAGGGACATGATGCGCGCCTGGGCCTCGGGCCCGAGCCTCGCGTTGGCGAACAGCTTGGCGACGCCGCCCGACGTGACGCGCCCGCCGCTGCCGCCGTCGTCGTCGCGCAGCACGGCGTCGAACGTTTCGATGTAGGTGTCGGGCACGTCGGACGGCGGGAGCAGGTTGCGGATCACGTCAGCGCGGCTGCGCTGCCGGCGCGGCGTGGGCATGTCCCAAGGCGAGGAGTCGTCACCGCCGCCGCCGCCGCCGTCGTGGTCGTCGAAGAGGCCATTGGAAGACGAGGTCCGCTGCGAGGAGGACTGCTCGTCAAACAGCCCGCCGCCGCCGCCGCCGCCGCCGCCGCGGGCCTTGGTCTGGCGGCGCGGAGTCGAAGCCATCGTTGGCTCGCCCCCGTCGTGGTCGGGCGGGGTTGATCCGAAGAGCGACATGCTGCTGTGCGTGCCTCCTGCGTCGCTGTCCGCCTCGCGGGGGGGAAGAAGAAGTGCAGCCTCGGTGGTATACGTCGGGTCGCTGCGCGGTGGTGCGCGGTGGCTGGGGAGGACGAAGCGAGGCCCCTGTCGTGGCCCGGCAGCGGTGCGTAGACGCCGGCGGAGCGCGCAGTCGTCAGACGATTCGTAATGGCGCACCCGAGTGCAGAGATGCCGTGGCCCCAAGGTAGCCGGCGGCGATTCTTTTGCGACCAGAGACGAAGCTCAGGGTGGGAGGAACGGCGACCGCTAGATGGAATAACAGAACAAGGACAATGCACGGGGATACGGCTATGCGGAGGTGACGCGAGCGAGGCAGCGAGGAGATGAGCGCGCGGTGCGTGCGATTGGTGAAGTCATCCCCAGACGTTGCCTCCAGCTCGGGTGGAGAACCGGGCCCGCCCTTGGAAGCTGCCTGCCCAGACGCTGTCACTGCACTAAAACCAACATGGCATACGGCGTCCAGCATAGCGCAGTAAGTACAGCGCAGTCCCCTCTGGAACGCAGCATGGCACAGCACGGGCCGGAGCAGTTGATATGGCACCCGGGAGCTAATAATGGAACGGCTGCATGCCACAGCAGTGTTGAATCCGCCCCTGCCGCTGTGCAGTGCCTGTGATTCCATGCACTATCATGCCCTGCGTATGGAACGGCGTCGTCATCCACGGCACCCGTCAATCCTCAGATGGCTTCAGAGGCAGTGAGCATTCGGTGTAATACGTCAATTAACCCGTACATCCATAGAGGCCTGACACCATGTTCAGTGCTGCTGGCTAATGCACTGCCAATGCCCCGTGCAAACGATCGATGCTCCTGCTGCACGTCATCCCTCACCACGCCTGTCCTGGCCCCCCAATTCTGGTCCATCATGCAATACGCAGTCACGGCAAGCAACAGGCTGTCTGCCCGTCTGTCCGCATTGGTCATTTTGAGTGTCATTGTACAACGGACTCCAACAGTCCGCAAACATAGCCGTCCGCATGGGCTACCAAAGTAATACACAGAGCCGTCTCGGCCCTCCTCGCCCGTCTCTCACGCTCCCATGTCGCCTCACCACAGCGTCTCTTCCACCGCCTTCTTCTCCGCCTTGGCCTCGCTCTTAATCTTGCGCTCCCCAGGCACCTTGAAATACAGACTCGGCGACTCGCCGGGCGCCAGCTGGTGGCTCAGGTAGCCACGGTGCGCCGGGTCGCGGTAGTACTCAATGTCCCTACGGCTCGTCGGGTCCGGCAGCCGGTATCTGAACGGCGCCTTGCGCGCCGCCTCCAGCACGCCCTCCACGTGCTCCTTGCCCACGGGCAGCGGCCGGTCCGTGTTGACCGACTCGCCCGTCAGCAGCCGCCGGATGGCCAGCTTGGTGTAGTATCGCGTCACCACCTTGCCGCCCGCGGCCTCGATGGCGGCGATGGCCCCCTCCGACACGCGCGACACCATCACGTCGATAGGCTGCTTCAGGCACTCGGAGCCGCGGGACAGGATCTTGACGCCGTCCTTGACGCTGCCGACCAGCTTGCTCTCGATGAGCTCCTTGGGTGTGATTTGCTTCGTCGGGTCGAGTCTGCCCTGGTTGATCCAGTCCTGGATCTTGTCGAGGTTCACTTCGGCCAGTTTCGGTGCTCGCCTACAATTGCCACTCTGTCAGCATCTGGGTCCATCGAGCCCATTGCCGCACCCCGTCGGCGTACTCACAAGTTCGTGAACCCCATGGTGCCGTGCTTCACCACCAGCGGCGTCTGGCCGCCCTGGAACCACGGATTCACCTTGCCGTGCTGCCTCTGGCCCTTGTGACCCCGACCCGATGTCTTGCCATGACCGGACGAGGGGCCGCGGCCCACGCGCTTCTTGGGGTGCTTGGCGCCCTTGTTGTTGGTGAGGCTGCCGAGGATCGAGGCGTGCCGCGTCTGCTGCAGCGTCATGCCCGCGAGGCACGCCGTCAGGGAGGTCATGGGAGAACCCGCGGTGGCCCTGCAGCACGCGGCCGTGCTGGGCGGTAGTAATCGGGGCGGCATGGCGGCGCAACGGGTGTCGCGACTGTCTGGTTGATGGCTCCTGATTTTTTTGGAGAGGCTCGCAGGATGAGGAAGATGGACATGGAGGATGGGAGTTGGGGCCCCATAAAAATTTGCCTCAGGCCGCCACGTTGCCGAGCTTGACCCATCCGAATGCCTCCTGCTTGATGTACAACGCCAACACATGAATGAATTCCGCCAGCATAAAGCCGACGTTGACAAATTATCAACGGAGGCAATGCCCGTTTTGGTGAAAAGCCGTTTGGAAGGAGCTCTCAGACCTCGATTGGACCCTGTCGTCTCACCACCCTCGGGAGCAATCCTGCTCGCTCAACCGTGCCCCCTCTATTCCGGTCCGCAATCACATTATATCTCATGTATCCCCTCACGTCTGCAGAGGCAAGAAATCACGTACAGTAATTAGAACTGTTCGCTAATCCAAAATGTACAAGAGCCGCATCCCATGCGTCAACAGTCAAAACACCCCCAACTCTCGCTGCGGTACAGACAAATGCACTCCCCCTCTATCAGACACAGGGCAGGCCCGGCCGCCTCCCTGTCCGCAAAAGCCTGATGCGTAAATCATGTCTCGCAGTCCATCCCTATCCTAGATGAGGCGCCGCGCTGTTGGCCGGGCCACTCATGCCTGAGGCTGTCTGCGTGTAAAAGCACAACGCCTTTCCCCTGTCCCGTTTGATGACGTCGCTGCGTATAGATCTGTGTTTTCCGCCCCTTTAATCCCCCAGTCAACCTCTCCGATTCGCTTAAGCGGCGTCCCATGCTCTTGCCGATGCTGCATCGACAGACAGAACGCGGGGTTCGCGGTTGGCGAGCCCCGGCGTGCCGTCCTTTGCTTGGGTACGGGCGTGGCGCCGTGCTGCGAGTGTCTGCTTTCGCCTCACGGGCTGCCTGGTGCTTAGGGACTCGCCCAACCGCCGGCGACATCGACCCACTCAGCCAGGCACGAGCCCTCCTTGCCCTCGACATCCACAATATCAGTGTCGCATCTGCAGCGGCAGCCGACACCGTTCTCCTTGGGCTCGTCGTAGTTCTCCCAGTACTGATCCTCCTCGATGCGCTTCTTCTCGTCGAGCGTCGTCGTCTCGAGGTAGGGCGTGCGCGGGAGCTGTCTGGCGGGGGCGTTCGCCGGGCAATGCTGGATGGTGGTGTGCCTGTAGCCAAAGTCTCGGAAGTAGTGGATGTCCTTGGGGCCGAGAAGAGCGCCGGCAGCGAGGGAGTGGATGGGGGCATCACCCCACTGCAACCTGTTAGCCATCACAGACAACCTGTTGTTGGAGACCGGGACTTACTCGTTCCATCCAGAAGCCACCGCTGCGATCCATCATCTCAAAGAAATCGTTGTACTCCTTGCTGCGGAACCAGTCGAGCCGCGCAATCTCAAAGTTGGACCAGAAGTGACACATGTTGTACTTTTCACCCTCCATAGCCTCGGGGTCGATGGGGGGCGCGGCGTGCCTATTCGGGTCGTTCTGCAGGACTTCCTCGGGGAGATTGGGGTCCTTGTTCTCCTCCTTCTTGGGGTCTTGAGGCTCGACGAACATCTCCCACAGTCCCTGCGAGGTAATGTTGTTGAGTCGCTTGTAGGCCGACGCGTATCGGAAGATGTTGGGGACGGTCTCTCGAAGCTCCTTGACGGCAATGGTGAAGCCATACGTCTTGTTGTTCTCGATCATCTTCAGGAACGGATCGCTGGGACAAGGTCAGCATCACTTGTATTATCTTAGTGTTGGGCTGCTCCACTTACTAGGTGATGTCGCAAAAGTAGGTAATCTCGGGCTCGACGCGCCAGTACCAGTCGTACTTGAGCAGAAGCTCATGGTTGAAGAAGAACCTGGACCGAGTCAGCGCAGTTTCATTGTGTGCTAAGCCCGAGGGAACCACTCACCCGGAGTAGAAGCGGCACATGGCATGATAACTTTCCAGCCCACCGTACATGACGGCTGCGTCTCCCTGCTTGGCGATGCCCTCCTTGGCAACCTTGGGATCAATCCAGTCAGGGAAGCCCCACATGTCGGGTCCAACCTTGCCGAACTCGACGTTGGCAGACGTGTAGTTTCGGACGACCTCCTTGAAGTGATCGTCGAAGTCGCCGTCGTTGAGAAAGACGTAGGGGTAGTGATACCAGCGGTTGAAGTGGCGCTCGACCGACTTGATGGACTGGATGACGCCATCCAGCTCCTTGTTTCTGGCGAGGACGACGAACGCGGCATTGGCGCGGGGCGTGCTGGTATCCGGGTCGAGGCAACCAGTCACGAAGACCTTGTCGTGCTTTTCGCTGATTTTGCTGTTCGAGGCAATCGGGTCAGCGGCGGCTCACGCGTTGGCAAAACCAGGGGACTTGGGCAGTACGAACCGGATCGCCGGCGGCGCACCAGCAGGCATGAGTATCCTACCAGGCGAGCTCGGATGCCTGACGAACAAAACGAGAATCAAAACGATGACGAGGAGCGGAAAGACGATGACGACGCCGAGCGGTACGGAGACGGTCGAGTTGCCGCGCAGGCGCAGAGGCCGACGGAAAAATGCAAGCTGCGAGGCGAGGCCCTTTCGCTTCGGTGATCCTCGCTTTTCGTTGTCGAGAGTCGGTAGCCGCAACGGCTGGGCCGATGAGGCCATCCTGGACGCCCTCCGGATCAGATCCATGGTGCTGACGAACCCGCCTCAGTGGCAGGGGCGGAAGACAATGTCAAGATGCGAAGAAGGCGACGAAGCTGCGTTGACGGCCGTTTTTGGGCTCGTGTCGGGCGGGTCTGGGGTTGTTGGACGGGATGCGAGGCGAGATTATTACAATCAGGGGCAAGGGATATTAAAACCTGGGCCAGAGCCGACTATGCGCGCCAAAAGTCTAAGGCGCCCAAAACACGACGAGACTCGCGGGGGGGCCTGGCGTCCTCAATCTCGCGAGAGACGGAAAGAAAGCGGAAAGGGCAGAATCGAGGGGATCGATCGTCGTCGCGGCGCGGAGTGAACGAGCGGCAGGGACCACGAATCCCCAGCGGGAGAGCGGCGAGGCGATGGGACTGCGGCACGGAGCGCGTCGCTCAGGCCAGGCGGGCGACGATGCCACGGGATGGAGCCCGTCAATGGCTTGCCGGCGTCGCGAAACCAGGTGGGTTCGGGGCGGCCCGCGAGACGTATCAACCGGGGGGCGCGTTGGGCGATGAGAGGAGGGTTGTTGATGCGGGTAGGAGGAGGGAGGTTGAGGAAGAGGGAGGGAGAGAGATTGACGCTCCGGCGGCTTTGCAACCGGGGGGCATCGAAAGATGGATGGGCGGTTGCGGGTCGCTGTTCGTCCACCCTTTCCAGGCTGGTCTGGAAGGCAAGGTAATTGAATTCGGGGGCGCTTCCAAGGGGGGGGGGGGTTGGCCGCCTGGGCGATGGCGGCTCAGGGCAGTGGTCCAGGCCGCGCCCGCTGTGGCCACGTACGAGTAAGGCACCCAAGGTAAAAGGTATGGGGACCGGGTGCTGTGCCGTAGGTGCTGTGCAGTGCCATGCCGCTGTACCATGCCGTAACTGTTCGTCACCCGCAGCGATCCATGGGAAAAAGCAGCGGCGGCCGGCCGTTGGGGGGGCGCCCAGATGGAGGCGGCTCCACGCGGTGGAGGCCAATCACGCACCGCGCAGTGATCCGAGACACTGCGAGGCAAGGCAAGCTTTTTTTTTTTTTTGCGCTGCCGCTCCCTGCTTGCGTCCGCCGGGGGCAGCGCCACGGCTCGTGGTCAGATAAGGTGAGGGAGGCCCAGCGGGCCCGGCTGGCTTGGAAGAAGCCAAGAGTTTGGCGGCCTGCCGAACCATCCACTGGCGCAGCCTCCCCGGCATCGCCGTCACGGTGCCCGCCAGTGACCCAAGGGCCCTCGGTGCAGGTGGGTGGGTTGCAGCTGTCGACTTACCTAGCGCGGCAGGCTGCGACGCGACGCTGAATGAACCACTGACGATCTCATCACTGCGTCCTGTCAGCCAACACACCGCACGCACCTAGGCCCGTGATTCCATTCACTGCTTCATTTCTCCTCCGATTCGAGCGCTTATCTGCCATCCATCCACCCACCGGAGCAGTGCGACTTGCGTCCAACAACCCCCGTCGCGTCGTCGTCGTGGCCCGCCATGTCTCAGAAAGTCACCTCCAAGAACTTGTCGTACAATTCGTCGCTGCCCCCATTCCTCGCCGCCCTTCGCGCCCAGGCGGGCGGCGCGCCGGGACCCGACCCCATTCTCGCGAACCAGCGGCGCTCTGCCAAGAAGCGCTCCAGCAGCGAGGAGGCCGAGGACGCGCCCCTCGTCGTGGACGAGCATGGCAACGCGGTGAGCGTCGAGGTGGGCAAGGATGGCGAGGTCAAGGAGAAGCCACGCACGACTGACGACGACGATGATGCTGGCGACAATGGCGAATCCAAGGACACCAAAGGCGCGGCTCGCAAGATGGAAAAGCAGGACGGAGACGCCAAGTTTGCGTTTGGTGGACGGAAGCGCAAAGTTGGCAAGGTAGTTGGCGACAACAAGGCCGACGACGAGGACGACACCCCAGTCAAAACCGCACGGCCGGCGGATAGCAAGCAAAGCAAGGAGCTCGAGAAGCCGGCGGAGAAGAAAGGCAAGAAAAAGGCCAAGAAGATAAAGCTCAGCTTCGACGAGGACGAGGGATGAGCTCCCAGATCTCGGCCAGCTTCTACCCGCAAGCCATACATGGCATACTGACACATGTGCGAGCTCCGATGATGCCGCATGTGCGCCCCAAGAACCCTGCAACCAGCGCGACGCGCCGTCATGTTTGCCATTCGCAGCAAGTTACAACCGTGGCGTAAGACAATCGGCCAACTGCAGCCTCACGTCCGAGCTGGTGACAGAGTGCATCACAGCTCAAGCTCCGCCAGCGAAGCAGTCCTGGGCAGGAAGATACCAAGTACGATAGCACGCAGCGGTCCGACGCTCACCACGCAATGAACGCTGCTGAGCCAGAGAGGCGTCGTCTCTCAAACCTGGTGTGAATTGACAAAGGGAATTATTCACCGTAATCTACATACCCGCTCTCCCCGGTGGAATCTCCGCCGCCCATCTATGACTACACCTCCTCGTCACGTAATACAAAACACCTCATCCCGGCCACCCATTTTTGGTGGTGCATTTATCGGTAGCGGTACTCGGGCTTGATGTAGTCGGCAAACGTCTTGGGCTCCTCGATCTCGGGGCCGTGGTGGTGGTCGTGGTGGTGGTCGTCCTGCGGGCCGACGTACTCCATCTTGTAGACGCTGCCGCACTCGGGGCATCGCTCAATGGGGCGCTCGCGGGTCAGCTGCAGGGCGCGCATGGTTAGCATGGTAATCTCTCATGGCGGCGAACACAGTAATGGACGTACGCCGAGCCAGTTGACGACGTGGGAGTCGGCAGGGTAGCCAGTGCAGCCGGCAAACTGCTCCTCGCCGGCAGAGCGGACGGAAATGGGGTTCTCCATGGTGCCCTTGCGGCTGGCGTCGAGGGGGCGCATGTCGAAGATGTCGACGCCCTCCATCTTGCCGAGAATCTCCAGACGCTCAAGACCGGTGGCCTGCTCGAGATCGGTGGGGACGGTGCCGGGGGCGGCGCCAGGGCCGAAGAGGTCGTCCTCGCCCTTGACCTCTGTGGGTTGATGCTGGTCAGCTGGCTGCTATTTCTTTGCTTCCCGACTCGGCCGAGGTTAGCTCGCGGGGGATCCGGAACGGTCGCGACGCACCGCTGAACGTCTTGTATTCGCCAATCTTCTTCTGGGCAGTGCCGGCGAGAGAGGCGGCCTGCGCGTTGGGGGTGGAAGGGCCAGACTTGGCGGCCTCGCCTGGAGGTTGAGGTTAGCCGACAGCTGGCACGGGTCAATCGGGCATCGGGATGGAGCAAATTGCGTACGGCGGACGAGGGAGGTCGCGAAGCTGCGGGTGACGGCGGGAGCGACGGCGGCGCGGCGGGCCGCGGCGATGACGGTGCGTTGCAGAAGCATGGTGTCGGCGTGGATGCGATCCGGGCTGGGTTGAGAGAGGCGTGGACGTTGCCGTGGAGGGATTTGTGAGGATGGGCTGGTGGACTGAGTCGAAGTTGGATGAGCAGATCCAGTCGTGCAGGGGGAATTGACCAATCACGGTGGAGTCGATGTCATCACGTGATGCAGAGCTTCCTAAGTTTGCCGAGCTCAATCGCCTGATATTTCTGCAAGCTGCTTCCGCATCCCTGCACGCGGCTCAATTTCGAATTGGCACGAGCGCTGAATACGCTGCTTTGGCAATTCAAGCCTATGTTGTTGTATTCGCGAATTGACGGAAATAGTTGCTGGTGTTTCAGCTTTTGGCTGCCTCCTTCGACGATGCAAGCGAGCACATGCGGGCTCACATCAGTGGCGCTACGGCACAGCTTCAAATGATGTCTGCTTGCGGGAAGCCCCAACTTTCTTCCCCAGAAATCGGGTGAACGATTAGCTTTAAAACTCTCTCTATCCAGTCTATGGTCCCATGTCACATACACCTTCCTCGACACCTCCGCATTCTATATACCCATACCCCGGAGAACAATGTCGTCTCGCTTCCCTCAGAGCTTGCCGTAACCGCCGGAGAACTTGTCAGGCTGTATGATGCCGTCCTGGTACCCGCTTGCAACGTGCTTCCCCTCGGGACTCCAAAGCTTGCTCTCCATCATGCACCTCCCTGCGTTTACTCTGGGCCAGGACACCTCTTGAAGCCACCACCGTTCGGTGTCGAGCACCATCTCTTCGGGGTTGACGTGCACGTAAAACGAGTAGGTCAGGCTTGCCGCAACGCCGAGGTTGTAGCCGTACCCCAGGTGGTTGCCGCACATGATGAGGCCGTTCCGGTCCGCCTCGTACGCGTGGCACACGATGTGGGCGTTGACGTCGTCCTCGTCGAGAGGCTTCATTAGACGGTAATAGATGAGCTCGCGGCGCTCGGGAATCGGCTTTCCAGCATTGAACTCGGTCATGTCGACCTTGTGCATATCGAGGATCGGAAACGCTCCGTGACCGGCGTTCGGGAACAGGTCCTTGATGATGTCGACATCTGTCTGCGGGCTGAGGTCCCACTCGTGAGGAGCTCGAGTCGAGAGGATGTCGGCGTATATTTCTTGGGCAGACTGAGTTGGTCGAATGTCATCTACTATGGGATGGGACCGCTTGAATGTGGTGATGCAGCTGAAGCAAACATCCTTGAGAGGGAGTTCGGCGTCGGATGCTGGGAATGGACCCAGAGGTTCTGTTGAAGGCTCCTTCGTCTGACGGGCATTCACGATGCGGGCAGAGAATGAACGTCCATTGGAGAGCGGTGCGACCTCGTAAACGAAAGGCCGGTCCTTGAGACCAGGCGCGGTGAAGACGCCCTGGATGGACTATGAACGAAAGGTTAGGTCTAACACTGAGCCCTATGGGGCAGGATGAACTTACATGAATGCCCAGCTTCCCCTGAGGTTTGCTGCTGGTCACGAGCTGCTGCTCCTCCTCCTCCTCGACAGCTCTCGCGGCACACAGAGGTGCTTGAGCGTAGACGTGTCCGCCAAAGACTCCCGGGCCGCCATGCTTGGGGCGCGGGCCATCCAAGGACGAGAACAAGGCCTCCCAGGGTAGCTCGTCACCGGGCTTCCAGGCGGGCTGCTGGCTCATATACCGCTTGACAAGACGGCCATGGCCGTCCTGGCTAGCAGGGAGAGGCGTTATGGCAAGCGCCTCCTGGAAGCTCTGACGTGGAACTTCTTGCGACTGAGCGGCCATGTCGCGTTCCTCGATCCTGATAGGGGTCAGATATGGGATATGAGGCGCCGCGAAGCGCGACGGGACACGCACCAGCTTTCGGCGATGGAACGGTGCCGCTCGCTCGGATATGGCTTCTCCGACATCTGTGGCTGAGACACAACGTGTGAGTAACTTTATGCTGACAGGTGAGTGACTGGCAGTATGCTGTGGCTGGTTACCTCGATGTCCTCGCGGTGTTGCTGGTCATGGAGTCTGCAGTATTGAGTTGGCGTCGGCATCCGCCTAAGGTCGTCGCGGCGGACCTCGGCAAATCCCCCACGTGAGGGTCGCGGCCCAGCCAGCCGTTCATCCCATACTTGATTACCTACCCCAACGAGCCTTGTCAGCAGAATCTGTCCGACCGCTGCATGTCGCGTTGAACGTGCGGATACGGCAACGGACACGACTTGCGCGACAATTCAGCAGTTTCGGCACATTGGTGCCATGCAGGGTATACCTTGAGCGTTGCAGCTTACAGCGGTTCGAGTACCAACACCCCAGGTTACTACTCATCACCTACCACGTACCTTAGTTGCAACTTTGACGGTGTGCAGGCCCTATCATGGATGAGATGTAAGACGCTTGTTAGATTAGTGCTAGCTGCCACTGGCGCAGCTGTCCCGTGCAAGCAGTGGCATGCACACATGAATGGGTACTGGTCGGAAGCTGTTGGCGCCATCGCGATCGGGCGCAAACAGTGGACCTCGTCGAGGACTCAAGTTGCTTCTATGTACAATGGTGGCATTCATGCGGAGATAGACAACAGGGACTGGCAAAGCGCATTCGCCATAAATAAGAAAAATACAGCATGTCGACCGTCAATGCAGAGCCATGAACGATGCAGAAACGTGAAATTGGACTTTGCCTGTCTTCAGTTTCCAGCGACTTTCGGGGGAAATGGTCCGGCTCACGCGCGGCAGTAGCGCCCTAGGCGCACCTGCCGCAACTAGGTACCTAGCGACGTCATGATTGCGCCTCGAAGCAGCAACGGCCATCAACGTTCATTCCTCGTGCTTCCAGACCGCCTTCCCTTGCCTTCCTGTCCTGTTCAAGCACTCATATCTTCCTAATTGCTACCCCAGAATGAAGCAGCGAAGCATCTCAAGGTGATAGAGGACTGAATCACCTCATTGCCACCCGTGCAGTGGACGAACCGTCGCCATGTTGACGTGGTTTGGCCTGGTCAAGTCGCATCGCCGCGATGGCGAGCGCGAGCCCCTCCTACCGCAATACAACGATGAGACGGCGCGTGAGGCCCGGCTCCATGAAAAGCTTCACACGTACCAGATGCTACGGGCCATGTCTCAAGGATATATGCCGTCGAATGAGCAAGTCGTCCTGCAGCTGCGAAGCCTGCTCTCCGCCGACATCCTCAACCCGGACACCCAAGAGTTGAGCAGCTCTGGACGAGCTCTCACCTCTTCCACGAAGCTTTGGCTCACGCAGTTTATCAAAGTTCTGCAGCACAAGAACAGCGAGGACCAGATCCAGGATTTCATCTGGTACCTCAGCAAGGCGAGACTGGACATTGACACCCGCGACCTGGGAGTCAAGGCTGCAGCGTCCAAGGCCAAGGCCGACGCGTCTGCCACGCTTGCAAGCCTGCGCACCGTTGGATCCCTGCTGCTCACAAACTCGGACTTCCGCATATTTCTAGACGACCTTGGCACCGTTGGAAAGGAGGTCTTCCGGGATACCGCCTTCACCTTAGCAGACGTCTCCAAGGAGGCCGGTCAGCAGCTGGCGCCCGCCACCGAAGCCACCGACGCCCTCAGCGCCCAGGGTGGGAGCACGCACACCGTGCCGTCGAACCAGGATCTCGAGGACCAGGTGCAGGAGGTCGCGCAGGTTGTCTCGAGCGGCGCTGCAGAAGTCGCAAGCGAGGCCGGCCATAGCCTGTCGGAGCATGTCACTGGGAGTGAGGGGAAAGCGCTTGTCCATCGCTTGAAGCAGACTGTCGTGCAATTGAGAAAGCGCCGCGACTACTCGGAGTCGGTGTCGACTCTCGCGCTGCTCCTCCAGCGCTATCTGGCAGCCTATGCTCGTCTCGCGTCCGATACCGTCCAGGCCGTCGAGGAGGATGTGGGCACAAACGAGGATGCGGACCTCGCCGTCCGCAACTTCTGGCGCTTCTTGACGTCCCTGGGAAACCAGGAGCGCTGGAAGCAAGTCGAAGCGTCCTTTGACAAGGTTGTCGAGGCCGGTCGATCGGACCCCAACTTTGAGAAGATGGTGCAGGAGATCGCCACCTTGGTGCAGGATATGCTCACCGACCCAGATTTCTTCGACAATGCCGAACAGCGATTCAATGACCTGCGAAACAGGTCCAAGGAGACCACATCGAGGTCATCCATTGCAGACAGCGTGGACGAGCTCCTCACCCACCTTCGCTTGGCTCTTCGCTCCGTCACCGAGGATGAGGATATGCAAAAGTTGCTGCGTATTTCGAAGAGAATCGCGGCACTCCTTTCACCCCAGGGAAGCTACAAAAACGATGACCTGGTCCAGGACTCGATCAACACGTTCGTCCCGCTCGTCGTACAGGCCATTCAATATGTGCCGATCCCGCGCCTCGAGGTGTCCACGCCGGCCGTGGACCTACTGTTGGAGAACTTGATTCTCGAACCAGGCCGGACCATCAACCACAGCTCATTTCTACCTTACCGACTTCAGATCTCCACGCAAAACGACTTTGCTGTGCAAAAGGGCCTTTTCCGAACGACATCCTCGATGGCCTCCGTGGTGCGCGTCAAAATCTCCGGCTTGTCCATTGCGGCCGACGATCTGGGGTATTGGGTCAAGCTACACTCCGGGCTACTAAGGATCATGGACCAAGGGCTGGTCAGCTTTCACCTGGACGAGCGCGGCATCGACATCACCCTCGACATTGAAATTGGACGCAATCGAATCGAGGAGCTGGTGTCCCTGCGGAGCGTCAAGGTAGATGTACACCACCTGAACTACAAGCTGAGCGACTCCAAGTTCTCGTGGATCGCGTGGCTCCTCAAGCCACTGATCAGACCCATAGTGAGGAAGGCGCTGGAGTTGAAGGTGGCGGCGGCGATCGAGCAGGGTTTACGGACGTTGAACCGGGAGCTGGTATTTGCGCGAGAGCGGCTGCGCGCCACGCGCATTGCCAACCCCAACGACCTCTGGACCTTTCTTCGGGCTGTCGCTGCTCGGCTCACCCCCGCACCGGACCCGGATCTGGACGCGAGGGTCGGCGTACGCCCAGGGCGAGACGTGTTCCGGGGGCGCTACGCACCGGGCAGCCTCGTCAAGCTGTGGGACGACGAAGGACGGGACGCACCGCAGCGGGTGCTGGAGTACGAGAGGGGTGGGTGGCGCAATGAGATATTTGACGTGAAGACGGTGGCAGCTGGCAGCAGGCGGGTTGCACAAGTGTGAAATCTGATGGCCCTCTGCTATCGAAATGTTGGTGGCGTTGCCAGCCGGAGCGGAACGGCGACGATGTTCTTTCGAGGGAGGTGGTACTGGACTTACACCAGTGGCAGGGCGCACGGGGCAACTGATTTGGGAATACACATGCTGTACGAAGTACACGGGGACCTTGCTGTATACGAATACTGTACAGTAATATTGGGAGATGCAGGGAGCAACATGGACGCATCTTGATCTCGCAGGCAGGCTGCGTGGGGTGCTTTGGTTCGTGCAGACGACTCCAGCTTGCAAATACAAATACGGGGAATGGCTGGGCACGTTGGCTGCCGTCTGCGTCATGAGCTCACCGTCCAGACAGCCACGCGATGGCGCAAGCGAGCCGTTGGGCCGCTCGGCAAGCCATTGGGGCGGCTTTGTCACGACGTTCAATGGAGGGAAAAAAAAAAGGGGG